TCTTAGAGGCCTGCTAAAACATCTACACTTCAGAATTCTTCTCTCTACAAACTATTTTGGGTCTCCAAACTGAGAAGAGAGATTGAAAGACAGAGAAGAAATACAGATTTTTTTTTTTTTTTTTTTTTTTTTTTTTTAGAAAGGAGATAGAAGAAAGTTTTAAATCTCAAGGTTTTGAAAGGACCTTATTAGATAGAGGTTTGAAGTTTAGTTATACTATTCTTTTAAAATAACCACAAACTTCGGGCAACAGGTAGGTTATCTTCCAGGTATCAATGTAAACTTTATGGCAGCCATTCTAGCAAGTTGAAAGTTGTTCAGAATGTTCTGAGTTTACACTACAGTATTCAGTCCCAGTCAGACGCAAGCCCCAGGGACTGAAGAACAGAGAGAAAAAGAGAAAAGTCATCCTCTAGGAAAAATACCTACACTGCAAACAGCTAATGCCAATAAGAGTAAGGTCCCGCTGTAGAGGGTTATTCAGGAAATCCCTCTCTTAATCACCACCTTAGAGAGACCTCACATGACTATCTCATTTAAGTATGTAATGATGAATAAGTGACTGAATATACTGAATCCAATTATCTCACTGAGGCACGAAAGTTGCTTAGATACTTGAAAATGGTATGATACTGTGCATGTTGATAGGCTACCATTACATTTACTAGGATACCGCTTATCAGAGAATTAATTACTTGAGCAAGGAGGGGAAATATGAACAAAAACTATAAACTTGAATTAGTGAACAGAGATTTGTGTATGGCACATTAAAGTCCAAGATATATTTCTTCTTTGCTAGAAAGACTGCTATCCCAAGTGGTAGAATTTGGGCATAGTTTACTGTGTGCTCTTTCCTGGGCTTGACAAAAATCTGTGGATGAAGATTTGCTTGAACATTTTGGTTGGTATTATGGGCTCAATTGTGTCCCCTCAAATTCATATGCTGAAGTCTTAACCCCCAGAATGCCAGAATGTGACTGTATTTGGAGAGAGGGTGTCAGTAAAGGGGTAGTTAAGATTAAGTGTCATTGGGCTGGGTTCAATTCCAATATGACCAGTGTCGTAAGAAGAGGAAAATAGGACACATATGCAGATGAAAGACTACGTGAGGACACAGGGAGATGGTCATCTACAAGGTGAGGAGAGAGGCCTGAGAAGAAACTGACCCTGCCACACCTTGATCTCAGATTTCTAGCCTCTAGAACTGTGAGAAAATAGATTTCTGTTACTGAAACCACCTGGTCTGGGTTACTTCATTACGGTAGCCTTTGCAAACTAACACAGTTAGTACATATTACCTTTAGGTTTCATGGTGTGTGGCCACTTAACCATCTCTACAAGTCAGCTACAGATCGCATGCATCTTCTTTCTGTGTCTTAATACCAATGTCATGAATCTAGAAAAGTTGCAATCTCCATGGTTATTAAGGACTAAAATAATATTTTTATTAGAAGGCTTTCCCAGATAGCCAGAAATACATGCTAACACTAAATTCTAGTTCTTCCTTCATTCCTCAAAAAGGGATGGATGGAATATATGAAAAAAAAAATCCTATACCTAATATTAACCCTGTTTTACTTGGTCACTGGTAAGAAATAATATAGATTCACTCTAGGTAATGGCTCTTTCTTGTTGGTGGATTTGTTGTTTGTTTCAACCAGGAAGAGAATTACCTGCAAAATAATTTTTAACTGACTGATAAAGGAGATTCATAACTCATTATGAATCATACTATTCACAAAGTCATTCTTAAAACATTCTTAGGAAGGGTGAATTTGACATCTCATTATTGAACCCTTACTGTGTGCTCTGACATACTCTTATAAGTGCTGGAGATATACTGAGCAAAATAAGCTTGCCGCATGAAGCTTAAACTCTAGTAGAGAAGGTGTACAGTTAGCCATCGGGTGCTACGGGAACTTAAGGGCATGAGTTTACTTGATTGTGGAGTCTAGGGCAGGGGTCTGCAAATTGCATCTTTGTAAAGGGCCAGAGGGTAAAAATTTTAGGCTTTGGTGCCACACAGAACATCGCAACTATTTGACTCTGTCATTTTATAGCAAACATGGCCATAGACAATGTGTGAACAAAAGACTTATTTATGGGCACTGAACTTAGAATTTCTTATACTTTTCATATATCATGAAATGCTTATCTTTTGGTCCTTTTTCCAATAATTTAAATATGTAAAACTCATTCTTGGCTGAAGGTCACAGCTAGGGCATTGCAGAAGACCTTATGAGGATGGTGAACCTGACCTGAGAGCTGGGGAGACAAAGGCAGAGTTGGGGGGTGCAGGGCGGGACTGGAGTGTTCCACTGGGTGATGTGCACTGATGAGTAATAGAAAACAGTGGGAAGAGAGTTCACCCTTTGTTGAAGCTGTCTACCCTCGATACAAGCAGCCCAGGGGATACCTAACAAGGAGAAACTTTTTCTCTCTCGCAAATCACACAACATATACGTGCACCTACTCTGCCTACCAGGAAGACTGGACTGACTCTTTATATAAGCTGTGTGTAATTAATCACTTTACTCCCTTCGCCTGAAGACCTGTGAAAGCAGCGAATGATTCCCTTATTCTCTTGCTACTTTGGTGAAGCAATCATGTGAGTGCAGAAAAAAAATGAGATCACAGGTGTGTGTTTATTTAGCAATGCTTTGACAATAACTTCTAGATGTTCTTTAGCTCCAGTGGTATAACTGTGTGTGTGTGTGTGTGTGTGTATGTGTGTGACATTGGACGATTCCCTTCACTTCCTATACACATCTATTTGTACCCACTAAGTAAAAATAATACCTACATCAAACCATTGTGATCCTTAGAGAACCAAAATATTTTGTCATTCAAATCACAAAATCTCCAATTTCAGAGCAATTAGATGAATGTGTATCTAAGATCAAATATTAATACTGTCCAAAGACTACGTAATTAATCCAAATTCTGACTTTTAAATAATTTATTGGGTGTGTTATTACACATTTGAAAATAAGATACCGTTTTGACTATTTGGCTGCTACCCAAACAAGCGTGTTTAGATATTTTAGAAAGGAAGCTACAGTTTTGTTTTGTTTTTTTAACTGCTGTGGAAAAGAAAGATTTATTTACTTTATAGTAGCATTTAATTTTACTCAGTATCAAAATTACCCTATGTGCTAAAATGTAATGATAGCCTGGCAAAAATAGAGAGCATATGTTTGGCCCTGAGTTCGATACTTGAGTGGAGATGAGGCAAAAAGTTTTTCCTGGTAACCAAACCAACACTGTGTGCCTGGCATACTAATATGCTGCAGTCACTAAGGTGTTAAAGTGCTATCAAGGGCTTGAATCCACATTGGTTAGTAAATAAATAAATAAAACAGCCCTTCTGCTCATTAGGAAACCATCCAAAGCCAGGGAGAGAGAATCAAGTTCCTAATTTATGAGTCAGCCACTTACAAAAAAAAAAAAAAAAAAAAAGCAAAGCTAACACAGTCATTCATGCAGCCTTTCCCCACACCGATCTTTTTGGAAAAATAAATTCCTGCAGGAATACTCGGAATCACTACCAGTAAGTTCTATTATACTGTCAGACGTAGGAAAAATAAGTTTCCCTGGGACTTCAAACATGAGACCGAAGAAATGATTATGGCAAAATATTGTTCCTAATTAATTAAGATGATTTATATGACACGCTATGTAATGGAAAAATGCAAAACGGAAAAAAAGTTCCAGTAGTAAAGGAGATTCATTTTCAAGATAAATGACATAAAACTGAAAGAATAGGCTCCATTAATGAGTTCTCCAAATCAGCCTTCAATTTAGTCTTCATTGTTGGCAACATATTGACCAGTGGATAGCAATTTACCAGAAAATTATGGACCAGAATAATGAAATTCTACAACAAAAACTCTCAAATTGGACGCCATGCTGTTGACCACGAGATAGTTGAGACGACACAATCTCTTTTGCTTTTAATTCTCAAAAGCAAGAAGTAGTTTTATGGGTTTAAAATTCCCCATTAAAATAACTTTTTACTCTAATCTCATTGTCTCTTTTGCTCCTGGTTCCCTCCCTTCACCTCCTCTCCTGCCCCCTCCAATTTTGATCCACTCTGGTCTCCTGGCATTGTTCTGACATTTGCTTGGCCGAACATAAAACAACAAATATGTTCAATTTGAGTGGTTTCCTGCAATGTTATTCTATCAAACTGGCAATTTCCGAAAGGATTTAGAAAGGAGCGTACAATTCCTCAGACACCAGGGAGGTCTGACAGTGACTGCCAAAGCAGTCCATGCTTCGAGCGGGTCCTAATATCTGAGCATATAAAAACATCCCTTTTTCTTAGGTTTATTTTTTAGCTTAACATCAAGCAGACTTCAGACACCATCTAAGTGGCCTGAGAGCACTATATTTAGTTCCTTGAAACTCAAAGGAGTTTAGGATATTTTGGTATGCATGGTGCATGGAGACGCGTTTTTTTTTTTTTCCAGCAGTCATGTAAGGTAATGAAATGTTAATCAAGATGTTTAAATTATATCTAATGGATTGATGGCCTCACATAGGGACCAGACACAAAATTCATTAAAGCAGGCTCCGTTTATTCCCTGTATAGTCATTTCCTGCTCCCCTACCCAGTATTTGACATTTCCAAGATGGTGGCAGATTTGGAAATTTTATGATTTGATTGTGGTTTGGCTTGGATTCAAATTATAGGATCTGAATTTGATCAAATTAGACAGCTAATGCCTCAGGCAGAACAGTGAATGCCTGTGTCAATGGTGGCAAGATGTACTATAGCACTAACTTGAGACAGAATCTTGAAAATTCTTAGGGTTCATGATATTATACTTCATGCCCGCAAAGTACCCAAGCCTTAAAACCATAATAAGTTGCTACGGCTCATCATGTATCACTATTTCAGCTCTTGGAAGGCTGAATTCTTCTGATCTAGTGGCATGGACTTCCTGCGAGCCAATTCATTTGTGTTCACCAATGTGTATAGCAACCAAGTCCCTTACCTGCAGTCCTCCACAAAAGTAGCTTAAATGCTGAGTAGCTGTGGCCCGTGGGATTCCTCTTGCCCTTTACTGTAGTTGGCTGCATTCATTCTGCCATTCCACGTCAGATTCTGGCACTGAGTTGAAATATGCTCCAGTGTACTTCTTGCTTTAAAACCAGAGAAATGAGTTTATGGATTCCTGCTCAGAGGATATGTGAATACACAAGCCCTTACATTTTTTATCTTTGATAAAAAAAGACCCATCTCATTTTATTCTCTTTACACAGACCATCTACCATTCTGAAATTCAGCAAGCACAGGGACTTCCAAAACAACATTTAGGCTTTGGGCAGCATGACAACATGGCCTTTTGGCAAAACATCCTGGCACCAGGCATTGTCTTAAATGATGCATCATCAACAGTGGTAAAACCCTCGGCTCTGGAAGGGCCCCTCTAAGTGTGGAGAGGTCCTAAACTTCTGAAGCCTTGGTGCTCCTGGAGCAGAGAGAAAGATATTGTGCCTCACGGCATCGACCTCCAATTGTCCTCTTGCATGACTCCCAAGTCCAGCATTTCTAGGATCTAAGAAGTCTCTGAACAAAATGTATTTTGGGAGAAAGTTGCAGAGAGGACTGAGTTCTCTGGGGTCAGCTTGGAACTACGTGCCCTTGAACAAGTCATGCTACCTCTCAAGGCTTTCATTTATTCAGCTACTCAAGTAAGAGGTTACAGTCCATGATTTAAAAACAGGAACAGTGATTGGATTCATATGCTGAAAACTGAAAAGAGATTGAGTTAATAGCGTAAGTATTGTTGAAATGCAGAAGGTGGTCAACTCAACTTGCTTAATCATTCCCTCAAATATGAATAATATTCTCCTTGTCTCTGTGAAAACTTTACAGCAGTCACTTCACTGTATGCATGTTAATCCAAAGATTATACTGGGCATTTGGGACTTCACCTCTGCTTTTGGTATGAACTAGGCCTTAAAGACCCATGTGCTCTGGACAACTCATTTAACCGCTCTGGGACTCAATTGTTCTCTACCTTGAAAGACAGGAAGGGAAGATTGATTTCATGATCTCTAAAACCTCTTCCAGTCTCTTATTCCATAGATGAGTCCTATTCCTGGGGCACCTGGGTGGCTCAGTTGGTTAAGTGTCTGCCTTTGGCTCAGGTCATGATCCCAGGGTCCTGGGATTGAGCCCCGCATCGGGCTCCCTGCTCAGTGGGGAGCCTGCTTCTCCCTCTCCTCCCCACTCATGCTCTCTGTCACTATCTCTGACTCTCTCTCTCTCAAATAAATAAATAAAATCTTTAAAAAAAACGAGTCCTATCCCCATCCTGGTGTCTTTGGGAAAGTCAAGGAAAGTAAACATAAGATAAGTAGGAGCTGAGCTTTCTCATTGGTGTGGCAAAGGTTTTCCTCAAACCTGGAAACAGGAAATCTTAGGATTAGATAACAAGAAAACAAGTGATTGTATATCTGATCTTTCTTTAAGGTGTGGATTTTCAGTTATTAACTACCATGTAAGTCATCTCTCTATTAGAGGACTTTATTTTTTTTAAAGATTTTATTTATTTATTTGTCAGAGAGAGGGAGAGAGTACGGGCACAAGCAGGGGGAATGGCAGGCAGAGGGAGAAGCAGGCTCCCCACTGAGCAGGGAGCCCAATGAGGGATTCAATCCCAGGACCCTGGGATCATGCCCTGAGCTGAAGGCAGACGCTTACGGACTGAGCCACCCAGGTGTCTCCCTATTAGAGGACTTTAGTTGTCAAATAATTGGCTGCTGACTTCTCAGTCTATCCTGAAGTCTCTGGCCTTTTAAGTAAACCTCTCTTTGCTGCTTTTAGTATCTAATGACCCAACTTCACTCAGCACTAGCTGTCCTGCCTTGGTTGCTGTCAGAACCTCTGTAACAGATAGGATTATTCTCTAGTCTAAGAAAAAGATGAAATAACAAAACTATTTTGCTACATTAGACCTTTCATCTTGCATATTCCATGCTGCTCCCAACCCAACCGTCCCCGCCCCCACCCCCCCGAGCCCTTACATATATTTAAAGATGAGAAATGAGGTGAAGGTTGGTCTTTTCTTGGTCCAATGCAGACAGCTGACAAGCCAGACTAATAGCTACACTTAGGAAGTCAGATAACATCACTGTAACAGGGGATGGAGGCTTGAAGTCTGCAGTTTTATTAGATCCCCAAATTGTGTCCCAGTTACAATATCTCTGGTTTGTGTTTTATGCATCTTAAATCCATCCCAAAACTTTAATAAGAAAAGCATGCTTTTATTAAAACAATATTGAAATTGTCTATTCTTTCATATGTTTATTTTTTTAGAATCTCTGAGTTTGATTTTTATAAAGAAAAGGTCTTGTTTCATTTTGTATAAGAAATTCAAGAAATATTATATATATGAATCCTGTAGTATAAAATGATTCACATTTTAAATAAATTCATTTTCAGAAAAGATTTAAAACAGAGCACTTGTAACTATGAATTTTCAGTGGAAATAGTTTTCAAATATTGGAAATATCATATATATTTGAATATATATATATAAATAAATATATTTGTACATGTTTGTGTCTGTGTGTCTTGGTTTCAGCAGAAAAAATGGCTGGATTGTTTTAATCAAGAAATCAAGATCATAATTATAACCTTCTCACAAAATTGTCCTCTCATTTAGGGAAAAATAACTTTTCTTAAAAACTTTTCTATTTGTCAAGAGGCTTACCTTAAAATTGAATGTGCGTAGTTCTGTGATTAATGTATAGCTTTCTCAATCTTAAAATTTGTCCTTACCATAAAAAGTTAGCAAAGAAATTAACAAAATAAAAATATTTGCTGAATCCTATACATTTTCAAATGTCTATGATACATTGGCAAGTGATGTAAATTCAATGACAGTACCTATCTAATTGAGGACAATGTATACTTAGATTATATACTTAGGAGTTTATAGTTCACAGAACTCAATTTTGATTAACCTACCAGTGTTAAAAAAAAAAATATTTCTCAAAAGGGCTAAAAGCCATTAATGTGCAAGATGTCATTTCTTTTAAAATTTCATTATAAGAGCTATCTGACTCAGAATTAACAACCGACCTTCTGATTCATGTATAATATTTAATGCTTACACAAAGCTTGCCAATTAACCTTTGTCTTGGGAATCAAATTTGAGTTGTAAGACTTACTATGAATCTTTCTGGAGAGCAATAAAATGTGAGTGCTTCAACATGCAGGAGAAAGTAGAAATGGGATATATACATAAAATTCTTGCCAATGTTATTGAAGACGTAAAGCTTGTATAAGACATCATAATTGTTAAATAATACAGTCCTTTAAATGACAGATCCGAAGGTCTGAGAATCACTTATCCTCCTATCATTAATCCAGTTTCATTCATTCAGGCAAATCCATTTCTCGAGTCCCTCCTATTTGTTAAGCACAATGCCTGATACTCTGGATAAATAGAAAAATAAGTAGGGACTTCTACTTCTCTCTGGGAAGTTACAGTAACTGTAACAGTGTGTGTCAAAACCAGACTTACATAGAGGCTAAAATAGTGGCCATAAGGGGAAAATAGCAGCAACCAACCGTAGTGTTTGAGAACAGGAATACGGAGCCCAGCCGCATGGGCTCATCTCCCAGCTCTGTCATTTACTACCTGTCTTACTAATTGCTCTACGCCTCATCTGCAAAACTAAGAATGATAGTAACAGCATTGGTCTCCTAGGGTAGTAATGATGGGAAAATGAGTTATTATTTATAAAGTACTTTGAATCATACCTGGCACATATTAAGCAGGATGCAAGTGTTTGTTAAATAAAGCCCTGTGGTTTGGGAAAACGGTTAGAAGAAACTATTTTGAGCTGTGTTTCATTTTTTATGGTGAAGAAAGAAACATGTTACCCAGACCAGGTACTTACTGCTAGGACCTAAGAATCTACCCATAAAAGAGGAATTGTTCCATTGAGCCCAGAAATCGTACATGTGGCAATCCCAGGTGGAATTATGTTGATGAAAATCAGGCTGCTTTAAGTTTCATAATTATATGACTGTTCCTTCCATAGGCAACTTTCTAAATTCTTGGGCCCTCGTTTTAAAAATAGACACTGAAGGGAAGAAAATGTTAATTAATGCTTACGGAAATGTGTTCAGAACATGGACTATGTCTACACTCTTCGCAGAACTCGCTGCTAGGGAATTCGTACAGGGTCAAATCAGCTCCTCTGTTAGTATTCCAGCTATACCAAAAAATGTGACACCTGCCTTCCCGAGACTGGTTAACTCTCCAACACCAAAATGGTCTCTCTGTACATCAAAGTAATAAAACTAACTGAGAAACTCTGAGTGCTAGGTAAACTCCAAACTCACCTCTTAATCCAGAATGCATCCTGGTCACAGCTGCACCCGTCTGTCCCTTAGGGTCCTTCAGTGGCCATTAGAGAATTTCTCTGCAGGGAAGCAGAACTGGAAGGAAAGAACAACCTTTCAGATATGGAAGAGCAGTACATTATTCTCTACTTTCCCTTATGGGTCTCATGTTTTCACTACTACTTTACAATAAAGAAATCTGCTTTATGTTATCTTCTGTTGTAACAGCTAGAGATTTAGTATTTCCATAGCTAAAACCTAAAATGGTTCTAATTTTTCCTACTAGATAAATTTCAAACATGACTGAATGTTATACAAGGTTCTTCTGAATACAGGCATCCCTCCTACCCCCAGCTCTAGAGCCACTCCGCACCGACTGAGGTAGATTAAAAATGGCCACACGTGCTTTGGCCCTTCTCCAATCAAAGCCAGAGTCTATGTCCCCTCCCCTGAATCCGGACTGGTCTGTGGCTCCTTCAACCAGAGTAGATATCTCACTGGGGCAGTTTCCAAGGACAGGCCTTAGGAAATTCACAGCCTTCACTTCCTGTCTCTTGGAACTCTGGCTAAATGGGAAACTGCCATAAAAGGAATGATTACCCCTGAGACCTGCCATTCTGTGAGAGAGCCCCAGCCCGCCACATGGAGTGGGCATGTGGACAGGGAGATGCCGAACTAGGGTTCTGTTCTGTTCCAGCCAGTCCAGCCCAGGAACCAGACTGCAAGGTAGGAAGTCTCCAGATGAATCCAGCCCCAGCCATCATCTTACTGCGACTGCGTGAGAGCTCCCAGCCCAGCCCATCTATCTCCATAATCATGAATGATAATAATAAGTCATGGTTTTAAGCACTTAGTCTTGGGGTAGTTTGTCACAGAGCAAGAGATAACCAGGCTATCCCCTGGAACATCCCTGTGCCCCTATCTATTCCAAATCACTTGAAGTTACCCCAGCACTCTGAGTTGCTTCTGAACAGCTTTTCCATCTACTCTTCCCTCTTCTTAGAGAGTTCCTGCTCCAGACCTCAAGATTCAGTATAACCATTATACCCTTTAAATTTTCTTTTTGCTCATCGCCTACATGAAACCCTAGGCCAACTTTATGGATGTATGTTTGCATGCATGTATGTATTTAACAAACACAAATAGCACTACATTCAAGTATTTAATACATTTAGTCCCCGTATTACCCTCATTTTACAGACGAGAAAATGGAAGCATCAAAAGTTAAGGAACTTGGCCAAGATCAGACAGATGGTAATTGGAAGAACCATGATTCGAACCCAGAGAGCCTGGCTCTGGATTTTGTGCCTGTAACTACCACAGTATGCCTCTACCTAGAGCATTCCACACCCTCCCTTCCCCCCTGTCTAGAGCTTCTCAGAGCTACCTTTGCTCTTCTAAGACATCCTTAGAGAATGTCTAAGTCAGGTAGCAGTCCTCCCTCTTTACCACTTCTTAGGCAGGTCACCTTGTACCTACCCTGCTTTCTTTCCTGTATCATATCTACTACAGTGAAAATAATTGTGGTTTTGTTTTGTTTTGTTTTGTTTTTTGAGCAGAGATACTGTCCTTCTTATTTCCCACTGTTTCCTCAGAACCTAGAGTATCACCTGATGCATAGCAGGGCTTAGTAAATATTTCTTGAAAGCCATGGATAAATGTGCTTTCTTTTTTCTGTGTCTTTACTGTGTTCACACATGGATCCACCCATTTTGATGATGACCAGTCCTCTGCTTCACGACTACTCCCGAGCGTTATAGCAACAGTGTAATCTGAGTCTATCCCCTAATAACTTTCTAAAAAAAAAAAAAAAGTGGTCAAATTCTAAATTGTATTAGAATTGATATTATGATGCCTTAGGCCAATGTTAGCTATGGTGGTGATTATGTGGGGAGTGCAGAAGTCTTTCAGAGTTGGCTAAAAGCTCTAGAAAACTTTAAGGAAATTGAGGATTCTTGGTAAGTCTTTTTTTTTTTTTCTAAATAAAATCAATGACTTTCTTTCTCTTTCTCATCAATCAGCTTACCTTTCTCCCCACCTCATTTCTTCCTCAATACATCCCTATCACATTCACTTCTCTCCCCTCCAACTCTCTCTCTCTTTTCTTTGCCACCACATTTCACACAGTATTTGATACACGTCATCATATACTCTTGTTCTCTTGCTAGTGATTTTATCTATTAATTTCATCACATTTTCTTTATCCTTCCTAGCGCTGCTGCAGGTGGGGGCCCCTATTCTTTCTTACCTAGCCCCCACAGTAACCTCATAGCCCTGTATGCCACTTTCCCTATTCTAACTTCACACCTACCCTGTCACCAAAGCAATGTTTCCATGGCAAGGAACTGATCTCATTATATTCTGGTACTAGGGATTTAGTTTCCCGCATAGTGTTTGCTCAGTCCATATTTGATTCAGAAATAGATATTTTCTAGATAGAAACCATATCTTTAAATTGTTTAACAATGGAAATAACTGTCTTGTAGTCACCATCACTGGATCTATAAAGTATGAAGCATTTCATTTATAAAATATCACATAGAGGAAGGAAGTACCTGACCTATTTGTGCGAAAAGCTTAATTACATTCAATTAAATATCTATTTCAGACTAATGTCTTCCACAATTTATAAAGAAGGCCTTGGGTTAGAAGGGTTTGAGTGCTATCTTGTTTTGCCTGGTCAACAGCATTGCTTCAGCTCCTAGATTTTAGTATCATAATCATCTTTTTCTCAGGAGAAAAAAAATGCTCACAATTCTTTTGTGCACAGAAGATACTCCCCATGAGTTCTTGGAGTCAGTTCTGGTGTCCCCAGATGTCTGCAGCAAGTGTTTTGGGAACTGACAAAAAATCTGCTGAAACCTCCTCTACGATTGATGCAGATTGTTTCCTAGTTAAAAAAAAAAAAAGGCAAACTGAAAAACAATTTTAGACTTAGAGGAAAGTAGCATAGTACAAGAGTTCCCTTAGATCCCTCACTTCACTCCCTCTCAAGCAAAGATCTTACATGATCATAGTAAAATTGTGAAGAACAGGGTATTAACATCAGTATGATATTATCAAATAAGCAACAGTTCCTATTTGAATTTCACCAGTTTTCACTAATGTTCTTTTTTTCTGTTCCAGGACCCAATCCAGAATTTTCCGTTGTGTGTAGTTGATATGTCACCTTACCCCGTGTCTGTAATAGTCTCCCAGTCTTTCCTTGTCTTTCATGACCTTCACACTTGAAAAACAGTGACCATTTATTTTATAGACTGTCCCTCCATTTGGGTTTGTCTGCTGTGTTCTCATGTTTGGAGGTTATGTATTTTGGACAAGAATATTAAAAAAATATTATGCATCCTTCTTAGTGCATCATTTCAAGGGGTTCATAATGCTGATATACTGTGTTGTTAGTTTGATCATTTGGTAAAGTTGGTGTCTTCCATTGACAAGGTTGATTTTCAATCAACCTGAAAGCCAGACAGTTTTGGTTAAAAGGGCATGTTTGTATATATATCACTGTATGTTAACTATACTGGAGTTAAAATAAAATGAAATTTTGAAAAGGGCACATGTTTGAGGTTAAGCAGATCTGGATGCAAATCCCAACTCTGTCATCTTCTGTTTGTGAGATATTAGAATACAGGATCTTGAATCTCATTCTGAGTCTCAGCTTCTTTGACTGGGAAACAGGCATTCTACCAATACCCTTCTGTTGAGAAAAATGTGAATCCTACTTTACAATCTGAGATGTAGAAAAAATCCAAATTTCCTATTTCCCTTTAAATATACATAAATCTGCAATAGTCCCAGTGTGCCACAGAGCTCCCAAACAATATGACAGCCATATTGGTTACTTGTCCACATTGGTTACCTTGGAGTTGCATGCTCTCCCAGCTCAAGGGTACCTTTCATGTTCGATGGCCCAGTTGCATTAGGCTTTACTTTAATTGTGGGCATTTCTGGTGAGGCAGGGAGCTCTTATGCTTGGGAGAAGTTATTCACTCTGAGGACATTAATGTTTCTGGGGCTTTGTGTAAAGGTAGTATGAGGATTTGCAATGCTCTGCAGATCTACCAATATATCTAGGGAAAAGTCCCTCCTTCTTTTATATTTTTTCCCATCAAAGGTATATGTTTGTCTCTCTCCCAGACACCTAAAACAATTGAGGAGGTTAGATTTTGACCAAAGTTTCTAGCTTCTACTCTGCAAGTATCCCAGAGGTAAAGAATGCAAAGAGCCTTGCTACCTTGGAGAATACGGACAAACCCCCCCCCAATGAATAGCTCAAAATGTGACTATGACACAATATCCTGTTATGTAGTTGTGCAAGTATTTTGGCTGAGACTAGACCCAATAAATTACTCCTTTATTTTAGAAAAAAAAAATATTTGCATGGGCCTTTTGGTTATGCAAAGATAGCACACAACTTTATTCTGAAATGAAGAGACTTATGACAATGTGTTTCCAAAAGCCAAATAGCACTACTTCACATAAAAAAGTCATCTTCCAGGTAGACAAAGCTGAATCTTGGGAGATAGCTTATTTTAGGAAAATGTAACTTTTCTGAATATGGATTTACAATGAACTGACTTCAGAATGTATTACTTATTCCTTGAGAGTTCTGTGCCTTTGATCTTGTTTAAGTCCTGGAGTGGAATAGATGATTAGACTCCTGAGAGCAGTCTTAGACAACTGCAGAATGACACAGAGACATGACCTTCCCCCACATACTAGTGGGGGTGGGAAGCTACACTCAACAGAACTGCTGAAGTTGAATAACACACAATATGCTCAAAATGTACACATGACAGACAATTGTTTTGTAAGCAGTTCAAAGGTAAGATGATATACCTATGGATGCCTTTCCCTTGAAAGGATTGGATAGTTTCACTGTAAAACATTCCAGAGGATATCTATCCTGAGAGAATATGGTGATTTGAAAGGAGACTCTGGACAGGTAAAAGGCAGAAATGCTCCTTCCTTCCTCCAGGTTTGAGGAATAGACAGTCCCCGGCAGAGGAATGGAGCGAGGGAGATGCGTTTGAGATCTCTATCATGGCACAGGTGGTGGCGATAAACCCATCCCTACAACATGGTGGCAAGGTCGTATCTAGACAGAAGTGTCCGGAAGGGGCCTCTGATGGACAAACGTGGCCTGGAGACTGAGAAAAGCAATATCTGACAATCAGTTTAAAGATCCTTTTGTTCTTCTTAAGACTTTAATAAGCAATGGTCAGGTCTCAGCTACCATTCAGAGGAGCTGAGCAAAAGGTCAGTGCACCAAATCAAGATAAGCTGGTACAGGGGGAAAGCAACAGCAGATTGAGGGAAGCCAGGCTCAAGATGGTGGGGGGACAGTTCTGACCCTATAGTGGAAAACACAGCTGACTGAGGGCTGATTAACAATCAGGGCAAATATGGGGAACTTCTAGGCCTTCCCAAGCCAGAAGCACTTGGGAATTAGGAAAGAGGAAACCTGGTAAGAGACTGGACTTTCCAGTTTCCTTTGTGATCTGACTCAACCAACTGTGATATGAACATTAAAGAGTGACCTCAGAGACTAATAAAATGGGATGTACTTAGGTAAGATTAAAGTTACATAAATTTTTAGCACTAAATATTAGTTTGTTTTTCCTGACTTCCTTTTTTTTAAATTTAAATTCAATTAGCCAACATATAATACATCATTAGTTTTTGATGTAATGTTCAATGACTCATTAGTTGCGTATAACACCCAGTGCTCATCACACCACATGGCCTCCATAATGCCCATCACGCAGTTACCCCATCCCTTCCTTGCTTCCTAATAAGTAAGAGAATCTGGGAGAAATAGGGAAAGACTAGAAATAGTCACAATGAAGTGGCTCATTTATGAGCTAACATTGAATTTGCATCTCATAGATCAGGTGTAACTTGGAAACGGTGGTGGAATGTGGAGAGATATGATCTTTTCAGGCCACTGTAGACTGGAGGATTATAGCCAAATATATGGATGATGTTTAAAATGATCTCAGAACACTCTCATGTTAAATGTTAAGTGGTACTCAGTGTGAGAAAGGACATCTAAAAGGCTTCCATTTTAATTCTGCCCTTTTGCCAAAAAATAAATCAATCCTGGCACACTTGCAGTTTACAGAGAGAGGTTCATAGGTATTCATACAGCAAATAGTAATATGGAAGCTGGGCCCTATCTGGTGATTTCTGATTAGATAGGAAGAGAGGGTGGCCTAAAGGCACATCCTCTAATGTAAGGCTTCCTAACTGTGCCTCAGCCTCTTTGGAACTGTCTTCTAATTTCTGATTTGCAGATAAAATCTTCCATAAACTGAAGCCAAAGTTTTTTTTCTTACTCTCCTAGTACTAACTGCTAATTTTTATTGAATTCTTTCTCCAGAGCCAGCGATTCTAAGCATTTTACATTCATTTTTTCTCATTTAATCCCCCAGATTCTATTATTATCCCCATTTTATGAAAAGAAGAATGATGCTTAGAAATTAAATCAGTTCTCAAAGTCACACAACTTATAGGTGTTAGAGTTACGTTTGGGACCCACGTCTTCTGACCTTAAGATAACACACTTTATCTTCTTCTGAATATTCTTCTTCTCCTTCTCTTTCTTCTCTGCTTTCCCAATTCAAGATACATTTCTGAGCTCTAAGTCAAGGCCAAACTGACATAGTTTCAGTGAAAAGTGTTATTGCACCTCCAGGATCCCCCAGGAGGTGGTTAATCTAATTGACAATCCATTAGTTCACTAAAAACCGAGTATTTAGTAGGGATTTGCCAGATGGAATGCAGGTGGAGGCACTGGGACCCAGGGGATATGGCACAGCTGTCTGTCTTAGGAAACTCATGGATAGGACAGGAGATGAGAGCTAAGTAAATAACTGCTGTGCACAAGTGCAGAGGTGATCATAGAGGTACACAGGGTACAGACGTGGGGTAGACTCTACCTTTGCAATGCTTCTGAGGAGGCTACAAGGGCCTAAACATAAGTAACAAAGCTCAATTCATCTATCATATATAACGATTTCACAACTAAAATAATTTCTGAACCAAATTTGCATGATGGACTATCCATCACACTCACATTCTCTCCTTTGTCCACTATATGTACTAATCAGACGGTATATAAAATGTCAAAGTCAACTCACTCTATGGACAACCCCCGCCCCCCCCCCCCACACACACACAAAATCCCCACAACCACTGTGCCTATGGCCATGGTGCCTTTCTTTAGGATATTGATATCACAGCACCTTGAAAGGTTCTGCATCTGTATTTGAACTGCCTTTAGTAGTTCGGATTATTTGAAAGAGACTTTCCTTGTCAGAACAGTGCCCAGACTCCGAGGCCCAATCAGCAGGAAATTGATCTCTTGCGTCTGTCACAGAAGTATGAAGCTCTGCGCGGTAGTGTCGTGTTACGGATCACAGGTGCATTTTTGAGATGACGTGCTGATGGCCAGGGGGTGAGGAAGCCCTGTTCTCTTTCACAGCTGAAGACAGAAATGTCGCAAGGACAAGGAGGACGACTGGCATGCCTCACATTCCTCAGTGTTGAAAACAATCAAAGGTGGGGGAATGAGAGAAAAATCAAATTTCTACGAAGAGATGTCAGCAGTAAATTTAATGCAGGTGCAATATTCTCCAAACAAAGGACGTTTTTGTTTCCACCGTCTGTGGCTCCATGAAAACCTGCCCCTGCCTCCTCCCTGCTGTGTGTTTTTCTTTTTATCAGTGTAAGGTAGATTAAAATGTTGATATCCTTCCTTGGCAAAAGTATTTTTTAATGTTCTTAGTACAACTGTTGAAGAAGTATTAACTTCCCCCCAAAGCTTAGCTTCACTGGGTGTAACGGAGCTTTCTCTACCCTAAGGTTCAATTAGTTTGCTAAGCTTTGTATTTTCCTGATTACCTCTATGTATTACTGTGACGTGGTTTTTACCATTGTATCTATACAAAGAAAAATTTTAAAAAAATGAAAACCAAACATTTACTTTAGCTGGTATAGCAAATTTATAAATTAAAAAAATAACGAAATGTCCACTGTTGGTTAATATATATTTTATAAGAGAAAAATGCAAGTTATTCACCTTCCTTTATTTAGGCTATCACAAGCAGAGTGATTATAGAGCAATCAGGAAATCAAGAGGTATGACTTTCTGATTGGTTTTACTTAGTAATTGCTTAGAGATTTGGAGACTCTACTTTG